CTAAATGGGACAGAGGTAAATAGGGATGTATGTTCAACCTTGGAGAGACACGGATCGAATCATAATCTCAATGGGTAAAAGAAGGGAAATGATATTAGTGGTTGATTGTGTTATGCATGTTGGTTTGCCCTGTCTACTTATGTAAAACAGACACTTGAGTGGGATAGAAAGGAATATCAGGAAATATGATTACAGAAAGTTTGTAAGCCTGTCTTCAGCTTTTAACTGATTGGAATACCTAAAAGGGTTCTAAAACTTGCCCAGTGAAATAGGCTTTTTGTAGAGTATAGAACCTTAGATGGAATCCTGAACCCTATATAAAACCTTCTGAGGTGGGGCATTCCTACTTGAAAGGACATGCAGACCAACCCGGAGCTGCTAGAGGAACAGAAGATACCTCTTGAAAGAAAGAGCAGCAGTTTAAAATAAAAGCAGATTGATTGGCTATTACAAGAACAAGCAAGCTGTTCGCCTAGGAGCCATCAAGGCAAGCCATCAAGTCCCTGCAAGACAAACCCCTTTCAAGCGGGGGAAGGTAGAATCCCCACTGAATAGTTTTCATCTTGTCTAAATGGATCTGGTTAAAAGAAATGGGGATAGGATTCTTTTGATTCAATAGTGAGTAATTGTTATCATTCTTATAGTATAAAGGTGGAAGTTGCATGACAAAAGAGGGGGAGTAGTTACCCTTACACACCAGGAACAGAGGACCCTAGGACCAGCAAGAGAGAAGAGTGGGAGTAGAATTTGGGATCCTAACCAGAGAAGCAGCGACACCAGAGATGGAGACAGAGGGGATGGAGAGATCGAGTATCTGAGGTCTCTAGACTCACGGAAAGAGAAACGTTGTGTGCTGGTGGGCAGGGGACTGGTCTGCAAAATGTGCCTTTGGTTGTTTAAACGATTATATATTCCTGTGTGTTTTTGTGTACATCAAAAAAAAGAAAAAGGGAATAGAAGAAAATGCTGGTAACCGATGGCACATAGAGGGGATTGTAGTCATTGTAGTGAAACAAGGTGTGATTGGTTGAGTGCAAAACTGATATTCTGCCATGTTAAACTATCACTCAATTCACAATATAAGCTTTTGGGGAAAAAAAAACAACACTCTTTGCCATCAACCCCTGGTGAATCTTTCATCTTTAAGTACAGTGGAGCTATTCAAGCCCCAGGAGCTGCTAAATTATTCCTTTGGGTGGCAGATCCACCAGCAGTCTGGAGCGAAGAGTGAGTATATCTGAATATTCTTCTTGTATTTTCTTCTAGGTGTCTCCCCACAGATGGAGGTCACATGTGTCTCTGCCCCCACAAGTACAGTGTCTTCACTAGGTAACACAAATGGAGAAGAGGTAGGACCATCTGTCTACCTGGAAAGGCTAAAAATCCTCCGGCAGCGATGTGGTCTAGACAATACAAAGGTACTGCCCTTTCTTCTCTGTGGGTCTGGGAGGGCACACAGAGACGTGGCTTAATCTTGATGTATGTTGTTCTGGCACTGCTTGTTGACCTGCCTAATTACTGTCTCTTCTCTCAACAGCAAGACGACCGACCTCCGTTGACCTCGTTGCTCTCCAAACCCACAGTTCCTCCAGTCGTCTCCTCCACAGACATGCTGCACAGCAAACTCTCTCAGCTCCGGGAGTCCCGGGAGCAGCACCAGCATTCAGACCTGGATTCTAAGCAGACTCACTCTGCCGGGACCATGAGCACATCACCCTCCTCTGCAGCCAACATCGATGACCTGAAGAAAAGACTAGAGCGAATAAAGAGCAGCCGCAAATGAAGCTGCCCTGCCCCCGGCCCATTGCAGCTTTACTTTACTAAACTAGAAGTCCTCCTAGTCTAAAGTGGCCTCGGCAGGCCTAGTGTACACAAGCAGGTTGTATGTATCATACCGCGGAGCTGGGGGAGGAGTCATTGTGGCACAAGTATTTGTACATCCTCTGCTTCTCTCCGTCAGCATCCCGCCTCTCTAAGACTGTCTGTCTGTTAGCCTAGTGTACAGACTTGTAAACAGCTGCTCACCTCTCAACTCAGACTCGTTTCCCTGTCCTTTTTCTTCTGTTTTTAATTTCTCATTTGTAATCTTGTCCTAATCTTTCCTAGCTTTTAACTGTTAGGAACTCTTTAATAGTTTTCCTTTGAGTTTGTGAGTTCTTTTCCCTGCAGCCCTGAAGGGTCACTGTATTCTGTATGAATGCATGGCATGACACAACTAATTTTAAGAGTCTTCTGTAAATAAAGTTTGCATTAACTATACTTGTCTCCCAAGATATTCTGTATCTTGGAGTGTTGTGACAGCAGTTCTTTCTTGTAGCAGGCTGGGTCGTCAGCCTACCTAGAGAAAGGCTGGTTTCTGCTCCAGGAGCCCGGCCTCCTTCTGGCTCACACACTTGGAGCTGTCTTTCTGTCTTTTGGAATACAAGGAACATAGCTCTCTGGCCTTCTCTTAGCTCCTCGAGGAGCAGAGAAATCTCAGCCTGTCTTGAGGTTTGGGCTATGACTTGCTTCCTCCCATCAGCATCAGGCTTTCAGAGAGCTTCTGGAACATTTCATTGTCTTGCCCATGTGCCCAGGGATCGGCAGTGCTACAGAGGCGCTCAGACAGCAACTCGACTGGGGTACACACACTGGGCTAGTGGATCTGGGGAGTGGAGGAGATTCTGGCCTGGTATGCAGCCTCTGTCTTGGTACAGACTAACAGTTGTTCCACATGCAGTCTGTGTAAGAACCAGAGACTGAACTGAGACTTCATTCTGGAATAAACTCCACAGGCTCCTGCCAGTCACAAGGACTCTTCAGGACTAAGAAGTTCAGGATTAAGGTGGGAAATTTTCTGGATAATCATAAAGTTCAGAGGAACTTTGCTAGCCCACCTTTTGTTCAACGCTAGTGTTCAAGAATGAAAGCATTGGGAGGCCCCTGGTACCACAGTTCAGTCTCCTCTCTCTCCAAGTATGTGTTTCCTGAAGGGAAAATGAGTTCAGTACAGTAGAACAACATGTTAAGAAAGTGTAGCTGTGCTTGGCTCTGAAATAAGCACCAACTAATTTGAGGGGGGAAAGAAGCCAGTGCTTAGAGCCCTGAAAGCTGGGTTGGAGGCCAGCGTTCTGTGAGGATGATGTGTGTTTAGGAAGCAGGTTCTGGGCGTTAAAACTTGCTCATCAACCTTAGCCTCTGACTCAAGCCCTGGGCTGCCAAGGTCCTGTAAACTGACTGATTGCCAGTGTTGGTACGCTTTCTAGTCTGCCAGGAGAAAGAATGAAGGCAGAAATGCAGTCCTTATCCTCTGTTATCAAGTGGATTGAAAAATGAGAAGAAAACAAAAGCGGGGGAAGAGGCAAGGTTACCTGCCAGCCTTGGGCAAGTTAGTCCAAGGTCCCAGGCCAAGGATGATGTCCGTGTTCCACTCCACCCCCACCCCAGGCATTCAGTCTTCACCCTTGTCCTCGGAGCTCAGAGATGAGACTTCTCAACACAGGTTGGTGTGTGTGTGTGTGTGTGTGTGTGTGTGTGTGTGTATACTCAACACAGACTCCCATGTGCCTGTGTGTACACTCACACATATACACACTGGGGGTCTGCGTGCCTGCACACTGTTGTGTGTGCATACAGTAGACATACATTGTACTGCATGTGCGCACAGTGTACATGTGCATTCCATACATGTTGAAACTCACCATCAGCCCTGTTTCAGCTGCGGTGTCTACTTCCATGGGTCATAAAGGCTCCTAATGGGCAGAGCTACGTTTGCTGAATTGAGAACTCTAGTTGAAGTACAAGTGTGGGTAAGAGCCACGCTCAATGACCTCTGCCCACAGTATTGTGGTTTATGTGATCTACAAGGGCGTCGTTATAGGTTTATGACTATAAACTCTTCAAGTGGTCCAAACCCTTGTTGAATTCACTCACGTGCCCTGTAGCTCCTACTTCTTGGGAGAACAAACTGCTCTAGTCTGACAGCTGCTGTGTGAGTAGCGGTTCTGGGAAGGGACGGCCCCACCACTATGCTATTTGCAGATGCCACAGGAGGGACAACGGTAAGCAGCAGAGGAACTTTCAGAGTGCCAGGCAGTTGTGAGAATAAAAGAGGCAGTGATTCTTAGACATCTTACTAGGTACTAAGGCATCCTGGTGGCACTGCTGGTTAAGTATTGGGCTGCTAACTGCAATTCAAATCCACCAGATAACCCACAGAACTGCGAGGCTATCTGTTTCCTTAACGATTTACAGTCTCAGAAACCCAAGGGAGCAGTTTGGCTAGGTTCTCTAGTGGGACTATGAGTGGGAATCCACTTGATGCCATGAGTTTGGTGAGTTGTGGTTGCTAGGTTACAGGTGTTGTATAAAGTATCTTATTTAGCCCACACAAGTTTATGAGGTAAGTGGTGTCATGGTGTGCCTGTTATATATGAGGAAACTAATGTTCAGTAATCAAGTGACTTGCCCATGATTACTCATTAAAGTGAGACTCAGAATATGAGTCCATGCTCCTACTATGCCATCCACAATAGTCTTAAAGCATGTAAAATACTAAGGCTTTGGCGCATAAACCAGGACCCAAGGAAAGACAAGGGGACTTCCAGAAGAAGATGTAGCTACTCATCCTTCACTACATCTGTCTTCCTGCCTCTCTGCTACTTGGACAGACTCTATAGCTGAACCACAAGCCTCAGTGTCTAGGGACTACAACTCAAGTCCTAGATGTGCCCCTTAGCTGTGTACCCTTCTACCTCTCCGTGTGGACAGTCCATATCACACGTTGAACATGTTAGGTGCTCACAAGTTCAAGCTGCCTCTCCTTTGCCATGTGGCCCTGTGGTGGAGGTATGGGCTCTCGAGGGCCTTTGTAGCCAGCATTATGATGGAGCCCGCGGACAGCACCAGGAGTAGTGAGGCTCATTGAGACAGTCACTTTTATTGAGAACCATCACTTTAGAAACAGCAAAAAGACTTCTTTCATGCAGAGAGGAGCCCAGAATGTGGGTGGCTCCCATTGATCAGCATCCAGACTGATCAACGACTTTCTTTATCCACTTCTTCAGGCGGAACACATGTGTGTAGAAGCCATACTTTCCATCCCGGGCACAGCCTTCACCCCATGAGACGATGCCCATTTGATACCAGCGGTTATTATAGGGGCTCTGAGGAAGAAAGATGGGGTTTCCAAGAGTCAAGTTCAAGGTAGCCTCCAATTACCCTACCAAGCAGCTGTTTCTAAAAACAGGTCCCTCCTTACAATACCCCTCCCCTACAGATCTACCCAGCAGTCCCTGGTATTTAGAGAAGCTTACCTTCATGACAAAGGGTCCCCCACTGTCACCTTCACAAGCATCCCCTCTTAGGCCTTCTTTGGAACTGTAGCCTTGTGAGAGAAGGAGGGAGTATTCAGGGGCAGAGCTCTGCCAGCCGCTCTCCCCTTCAAGAGACACCCTAGCTGTTGACCATGCGTGGAAAGGACAGGACCTGAGAATTTACCTCTCTGTTCAAACAGTTTGGACTTTTAGAACCCTGTTAATGTTTTAAGAATCCCTGGTGATGACATGGGTTAAGCATTAGGCTTCTAACCATAAGGTTGTAACCCACCAGCTACTCCACCGGAGAAAGATGAGGCTGTCCGCTCTCATAAAGACTGAGTGTCTCGGAAGACCCTATGAAGAACTTCTCTGTGCAAGAGGGTCACTATGAATCAGAATGAACTCAGTAACAGGTTAATGTTTCACATGATCCAAAAAGAAATAGAAACAAGGATGACACAGGAGGCACTCACTCATCTCTGCCAAGAAATTTGGAAAAGAGCTACCTTACCAACTAATTGGAAGAGATCCCTATTTGTGTCCATTCCCAAGAGAGGTGACCCAACAGATGAAGATATCAGTGAGCAACATTATTAATATCACATGAAAGTAAAATTTTTCTAAAGATAATTTTAAAACAGTTGCAGAGAGAGAACTGTCAGAAATTCAAGCTGGATTCAGAAGAGGATGTGGAACTAGGGATATCACTGCTGATGTCAAATGGATCTTGGGTAAAAGCACAGAATACCAGAAAGATGTTTGCTTGTGCTTTATTGACTATGTAAAGGCTTTTGACCATTTGAATCATGACAAACTAGATAACATTGCGAAGAATGGATATTCCAGAACACTTGAACATGATCAAGAAATAACTTAGAACAAGGGGACAATGAATGGTTTAAAATCAGGAAAGGTGTGTGCCAGGGTTGTAGACTCTCACCATGCTTATGTGAAATCTCTATGCTGAATAAATAATCCAAGAAACGATTGTATGAAGAAGAATGTGACATCAAGATCAAAGGAAGACTTATTAACTACCTGCAATATGCAGATGACACAACCTTCCTTGCTGAAAGCAAAGAGGCCTTAAAATAGTTACTGATGAAGATTAAAAGACTGTAGTCTTGGTATGAATTCCACCTCAATGTAAAGAAAACAAAAAGTCCCCACAGCTGCTAATCTCATGGTCAGCAGTTCGGAACTGCCGGCTGTTCCTCGGGAGAAGGATGAGGCTTTCTGCTCCCATAGAGATTTACGGCATCGGAAACCCTGTGCAGGGCCGCTATGAGTCGGAACTGACTCCACAACACACAACAACAACAACATTTGTTGTTGTTACTGTTATATGCCATTGAGATGACCCTATGCACAACAGAATGAAACATTGTCTAGTCCTGCGCTATTCTCACAATTGTTATGCTTGAGCCCACTGCTGTTTGATGTATATATATAGTAGTGGTTACGAATCGGGCTGTGAACCGCAAGGTCAGCAGTTCGAAACTACCAGCTGTTCCACAGGAGAAAGATGAGGCTTTCTGCTCCTGCAAAGATTTACAGTATTGGAAACCCTATACAGGGTCACTATGAGTAGAAACCGACTCCATGGCACATAACAACAACAATGTATATATATACACAAACATACACACACACATATATATACATATATATATATATATATACACAGTGGATTATGAGACGGTTTGCTAACCACAAGGTCAGCAGTTCCAATCTACAGTGCTTATCCTTCAGTGCCACAGCAGGACTCCATATATACACATACATATGTATCTATTGCCTTTTTTTTAAGTGCCATTTGAGTCAGTTCTGACTCATAGCAATCCTGTATAGGGTTTCTGAAGAAAAGCAAGGTCTGCTTTATATCGATACAAAACTTTATATATATATATCATAGGAAAAATCAGCAATCAGCAATGTAGAGTAATAATGAATATTACATACTCTTGTTAAGACAGTCTTCAAAGTCTAGGAGTCTTGTCAACCTTACTGAGTAATGATCTTTGAACACAGCATTAAAGTCATAGCCTGAAAGAAGGGAGCTAAAATATTTAATGACATCTTAATATTTCCAGCTTTTGCAAAGAAAAGAACTGGTCACAATTTATCAGTGGCTGTATATTTTAATATCATTAGACAACAATTTCTTCCAATCAGAATAATGTTGTTGTTGTTAAGTGCCATCGAGTCGATTCCAACCCATAGTGAACCTGTAGAGGGGTTTCTAAGGAGCAGTTGGTGAGCTTGAACCACTGACTTTGCAGTTCAAATGACTTTGCAATCTGATGCATTAGCCCACTGCACCACACCATTTGTTGTTGTTGTTGTTAAGTGCCGGCCAGTCGGTTCCGACCCATGGCGACCCTGTGCAGGGTTTCCGAGGCTGTAGATCTTTACTGGAGCAGAAAGCCTCATCTTTCTCCTGTGGAGCAGCTGGTGGTTCCGAACTGCTGACCTTGAGGTTCGCAGCCCAATTCGTAACCACTACGCTACCAGTACTCCTTAGAGTTACCAAAATCATGATGTGGGAGAGAACAGTGAAATAAAGTATATATATAAAGTATGCTAAAAAAAAAAAAAAAAAAAGTCCCCACAACTAGACCAATAAATGGTGGTGATGGTTATGTGCCATGGAGTCAATTCCGACTCATAGTGACCCTGTACATGGTTTCTGAGGCTGTAAATCTTTACGGAAGCAGAAAGCCTCATCTTTCTTCCGTGGAATGGCTGGTTGTTTCAAACTGCTGACCTTGCGGTTCGCAGCCTGATTCATAACCGATACACGGAGAAAAGATTAAAGTTGTCAAAGACTTCATTTTGCTTAGATCCACTATCAACACTCATGGAAGCAGCAGTTAAGAAACCAAATTATACATTGTATTAGGCAAGTCTAGCAAAATTATCAGTTGAGGACTAAGGTGTGCCTGACCCAAGCCCTGGTATTTTCAATCTTCATATGCATGTGAAAGTGGGTCAATGAATAAGGAAGACAATAGAAAAATCAATGCATTTGAATTATGATGTTGGAGAAGAATATTGAAAGTACCATGGACTGCCAGAAAAACAAATAAATAGGTGTTGAAAGAAATACAGCCAGAGTGCTCCTTAGAGGCCTGCATGGTCTCTCATACTTGGGAGACCAGTGCCTGGAGAAACCATCATGCTTGGTAGAGTGGAAGGTTGGTGAAAAAGAGGAAGATTCCCCACAAGATGGATTGAAAGGAAGTAGCAATGGGCTCAAGCCTGACAGCAATTGTGAAGATGGTGCGGGACCTGGGCAGTGTGATGTTCTGTTGTGCATAGTGTCACTATGAGTCAGAACCAACTCAAAAACAACATTATTCAGAAGCGGTCTGCCTCGCCTCCTTCCTAGTCTGTCATAGTCCGGAAGCTCCACTGAAACTTGTCCACCAGGGGTGACCCTGATGGTCTTTGAACTATTAGTGACATAGCTTCCAGCATCACAAGCCACGATAGTATGACAGACTGACAAATAAGTGGGGAATTAGTGCATAAGTAACATAATTATTAACATCTAAGAACTTTGAAAAAACTTTAAAAAAATTTATTCACTCCCTCAACCCTCTGTTAACTTCCCATGTCACTCAGAATAAAAGCCAAAGTCCTTCAAGGCCTAAAGGAAGTGCTCACCCTCTGCCCAGCACCTTCTGCCTGCCCACATCTGTCGACTCAGCTAATTTCCTGAGGCCCCTCCTTTGTCCACAGTGTCCGGGCACACTGGCCTCCCTGCTGCTGTTCAGACTCACCACGTTTGCTCCCTGTGCCCCTGCTGTCCCCTCAGCTTGGTGTTTACCACCCTGGCGTGTCAGCTCCCCTCAGAGACCCTTCTGGGACCACTCTGGCCTCCAGGACACCCTCCCTTACTCTGCTGGGTTTTCTCATGGCGCTCATCTGGGCCTCAAGGTCTACATCTGTTGATTAATGTTCTCTCCTTCTGGGAAAGAAACTCTCTGAGGACATGGGCATCATCTGTTTGGGTCCCTGTTGTCTCGAACAGTGCCTCTCATTGTGTAGAACAGTGCCCGAGACAGGGTAAACAATATTTAATATTTAAAAGTAAATATTTACTGAATGATTGGATGACTTTTATCTCCCCCCCTCCCCCATGGCCTCTTGTTGTCAGAGATCATCAATATGGAATACTTAGTGGCTAACAACAAGCCAAACACTTCATTGACCCCTCACCCGATTTTCTGTCCAGGATGCTGACTTTCATCTCCATTTTACAGAGAAAGAAGTTGATTTCCTAAGAGATTGAACAATTTTCTTGTTGAACAAATAACTTGTAGGTGTGTGCTCTTAACATGCCTCAGTGAAGGTATATAAGAGTTGCAGACAGTGAATAATTGTTATCAGGACTGATTGTGAGGGTTGGAAATGTTAAGGTAGACGTTATATAGCAAGGAGGGGAGTGATTAACTTTTCAGTCTAGGAGCGGAGGTCCCTGGGACCATCAAGGGAGAAGAGCAGAGAGCGGGACCCTACCCAGAGAAGCAGTACCTGAAATGGAGCCAAAGATGATGATGTGGAGCGATGGAGCAGCTGGAGACTTTAGCTCCAGAGAGGGAGAGCGACTGTGTGCTGAAGACCTGAGGGGCACGGGGGAAGGATTGCATGGAGGGGATTGTAACCATGGCAATGAAATGATATACGATGGAATGAATGTAAAAGTAATATTCTCCCATGTAAACTATCACATAATTCACAATATTATCATTAAAAAAAAAAAAAAAAAGAGTTGCAGACAACAAAGGTGAATACTACTACGCACACAATCCTGCCATAACAGTAACAACAAATAATCTAGAAGTGGATATACACAGGCAGACATGCAAACTGAATAAGTATGAGAAAGCAAATAAGGCTGTTCCCAGGAGCATATATGGGTTTGACAGAGGATATTTCTATATTTTTGTATGTGTTGCAAATATATATATCCACATGTAGGACTACAGGATAGTACACTGGACCACTAGGTTGGGGTTCAAACCCACCAGTCACTCCTCAGAAACCTTAAACAGGGTCACTGGGTTGGACTCGAAGGCACTTAACAACAACATAGAAGAAAGAGGAGACAAAATTACAAAAGCTTCTTAGCCAAAACCAAACACCTTAAGGGAATGAACCGTTGGGTTTGGTGACTTAAGACCACACTCCCAGAGGAAATCTCGGTCAATTGGCATAATACAGTTCACAAAGACCATGTTTTCCAGCCTCCTCTGGTGAGCAGTGACTGGGGCTTTAAAAGCTAGTGAGCAGCCACCTAAGATGCAACTATTGAGCTCTCTCGTCATGCAGATTTAAGGAAATAAAATCAAAAGCTCAGGAAACAATCCAGAGGAGTAATGGGCCACACAACTCCACACCCTCTACTACCCTGAGACTAGAAGAACTAGACGGTGCCCAGCTACCAGTGACTGCTCTGATATGGACCACAGAAGGCCTGGGCAGAATGGGAGAAAAATATAGAAGAAAATTCAAAAGTCATAAAAACAAGACCAGACTCACTGAGACTATAGCCCTTAGACACCCTTCAGACCTGGAACTGAGCCCACCCCTGCAGATCACCTTTCAGGCAAACGACAGACAGTCCCTATGAAGTAAATAACATTCCGGAGGAACATACTCCTCTGACCAAATGACCAGACGAGACCAAAAGGGCAGCATTTGTTCCAAAACAAAGCTCAGAAAGCAGGAATGGGCAAGAAAGAAGGACAAATGTATACAGGGGACCCAGGGAGGGAGGGGAAAGAGTACTTAACTGTTAGACTGAAGGATCTGCAACTAATGTTACGAAATGAAATTGGTAAGAATTGTTGAATGGAAACGAATTTGCTCTAAGTTTTCACCCAAATCACAGTTTGAAAAAAATAACATAAATCAATTTGTTAAATGTACCCATGCATATCCCTTTCTTCTGCAAATACTAGGAAGCTTTTTCAAAGTTTGTGGGAAAATACCATTATCTTTTCTTTGCATTTTTTTCACGAACTTTATGTGTAAACTACCATGCTTGCTTTGTAAATCCTACCCATTTGCCTCTAGAGAATTTATTCTTCTACAGGATAATGCACTAGACAGCAAGGTCAGCAGTTCAAACCCACCAGCTGCACCTCAGAAACCCTATACAGAGTCACGGTGGGCACTTAACAACAACAACATACACAAAATCTTCCTAAATAGTTTAAAAGGGGACTTCCAGCAAGATGGCAGACGCACTACACAGACCCTCTCCAACAAAGATACGAGCAACCAAATAAAACAGACATCCTGAACTTCAGAAGAAAAGTTAGAGGGGTGGATGGAGTGCTTGCTAGGAGGAGAGGCCAAGCAGGGATAGTGAGAGAGGGAGACTGGTGAACAACTGGCCAGATGTGGCTCCACCATGTTGTGAGCAGCTTTGACAGTGGAGGGAGGCCTCGCATTCCAGTGGGTGCCAGAAAAGGTGTGATTTCTTCTTTTTCCACACACTACCCTGGTGACCCAAAGTGTGGCTAGCTGCCAGCCTCATCCATCCCCAGAGCAGACCATTCGCTCTGAGGGTTCAGAACTGAGTGGTTGAGAGACATGCCAGCATCAGGTGGGGGCTAACACTTTTGTGTCTGGATTCAGGTGGACTTAGCTCCAGACCTACAAACCCGCAGAGCCACCAGACCAGCATTTAACCAGTCACTCTGCCGCCAACTTCCCTGTGGTCCTAAAAGACACTAAAACCAGCTCCATCAAGGGCCTCCATGAACTACTTCTGGATTGAGTGCCCTGCATGTAGATCACACCGAGGCCAACAGGAACTCCATTGAGGGCCAGGAACTTTGCTGTCACATACCTTCCACAACCACCTCATGAACTTCTTGAATTGCAGGAGCCCTCAGAGATTTCTCCCTCCCAGGTCCAACAACTGCACTGTTTATTTTTATAAATACAACAACCCCATAACACCCCAGAGACAACAGACAATTGTGCTCACATGAAGAAACAGGAGAATGACTCAAACAAATGACCAAGATGCAGAGCCAGAATATGCTTCTGAGGACAAAAAGATAACAGAACTAACTGAAAAAGAATTCAAAAGAATGATAATTAGTGACCTCCGGAGGACCGATAGAAAGATGGAGGAAAGCAAGAACACAATAAAAACTAGAAGAATTCGGGAAAACATTACAAAAACAAACAGACAAAATAAATGCAAATTTTGAAACAATACAAAGCCTGCAATTAGAAATCCAGAAGATTAATACTAAGATCTCAGAAATGAACATAGTGAAAGGCAAAGGAATAAATGCAAAGTAATGGAAACTTGAGAGCTTGAAGACAAATCTCTCAATACTAGTATGCTAGAAGAACGATCAGAAAAAAGAATGATAAAATGTAAATAACGTCTAAGACTTAATGTGAGACACCATGAAGAGGAACAACTTACGAGTGATCAGAATTCCAAAGCAGGAAGAGACAAGCAGAAAATTGTCAAAGAGTTGTTGGAGGACAATTTCCTTAACATCATGAAAGACAAGAAGATAAGCATACAAAAAGCTGACTGAACCCCAAACAGAATAAATATAATCAAACGTTCCAAAATCAAAGACAAGGAAAATCCTGACAACAGCTCATGAAAAATGAAAAGTTACGTACAAAGGACACTCAGTAAGACTAAGCTCTGATTTCTCAACAGAAACCGCAGGAAGGAAGACAATGGAATGACATACAAAACTGTGAAAAGAAAAAGATTGCCAACCAAGAATCCTGTTCCCAGCTAAGGAGTCCCTCAAATACAATGGTGAATTTAGAACATTTCCTGATAAATAGAAAATAAAGGAATTTGTAATGACCAGACCAACTTACCAAAAAATGTATAAGGGCGTTCTTTAAACTGAGAACAAACAAGAGCAGCCAACAACCTGAGATTACCATTTGTGACAACACCACTCAGAACTCAGTCCAGATTCAAAAGTACTTAAAATCTGCTGCACAAGACCCTTTTCAAAGTGTTGAAGAGCAAAGATGTCAGCCTGAGGACTAAGGTACGCCTGACCCAAGCCATGGTATTTTCAATAACATCATATGCATGTGAAAGCTGGACAGTGAATAAGGAAGACCGTAGAAGAATTGATGCTTTTGAGTTATGGTGTTGGAGGAGAATATTGAAAGTGCCATGGGCTGCCAAAAGAACCAATAGATCTGTTTTGGAAGAAGTACAGCCAGAGTGCTCCTTGGAGGCCAAGATGGCCAAACTTCGTCTCTCATACTTGGGACATATTGTCAGGAGGGACCAGTCGCTGGAGAAGGACATCATGTTTGGTAAGGTGGAAGGTCAGAGAAATAGAAGATCCCCAACGAGATGGATTGGCCAAGTGGCAGTATTGATGGACTCAAGCGTGACAACTTTAGTGAGGTTGGCCCAGGATTGGGCAGTGTTTCATTCTGCTGTGCATAGGGTCACTATGAGTTGGTATCGACCCAATGGCACCTAACAACAACAATAAAAGTAAAACAAACCTACAAGACTGAAAATAGGGAACCAGAGATATCAATGTATAATGAAGTCAACTACAAAGCAAAAAGAGGGGATTATTATAGATACAGAACTTTCAGATGACAAGGAAGTCAAGTAGATTTCAAGATAAAACCGATTGTTTTAAGCAGGGAAAAAATAACAAATTACAGGGTAGCCTCAAAGAAAAATAATACACCTGCACATCAAAATAAAAAAGAGAAAAATCAAAGTTTTAGTAAACATTAAATTAACACGACAGAAATGCAATGAAAACCTACAAACAAAATGAACTCAGCATAGAAAATTATGTGGAACAAAGAATCCAGCAGCACCACACACCAAGAAACAATACACATACAGAGAAAAATGACAACATTCAATTCATACCTATTGATAATTACACTGAATGTAAATAGATTCAATGTTCCAGTCAAGAGATATAAAGAGCAAAATGGAAAAGAAAACAGGATTCTTCAATATGCCGTCTACAAAAGACACATTAAAAAGATGGAGACAACCTAAATGCCCATCAACAGAAAAATGGTTAAACAAATTTGGGTACATGCACACAATGGAATACTACAAAATGTTGAAGAATAATGAGGAACATGTGAAACACTTCACAACATGATTGAACCTGGAGGACATCATGCTGAGTGAAATTAGTGAAAAGGACAAACATTGTATGAGATCAATGTTGTGAACGTTTTTGAAAGGTTTTCTTGATAAAAGAAACAATCTATGCTGGGAAAATTATTCATGGGTTAGAGGGTAAACACATGCTAACATGGATGACAGGGCAGGCAATATACCACAAGAGGGAGGTTAACAGAGAAAAGATGGTAGTGGGAGACACAGGGTGGAATGCTGTTGTTAAAGTGTTAACTGTTGGTACATGGAGGGGATTGCAACCATGTGGTAAAGCAAAGTTTATGGGTTTTTAATGTAAAATTGATGATCTGCTCTGTAAACCTTCACGCAATTCACAATTTTAAAAAAAAGTTTTGTGAAAAATGTTTAAAAGAAAAACAAAAATGCAACATGCCTCAGTCCTCCCACCCCCGAATCCCTGTTGCTCCCTCCTGCAAAGTGGCTCCCAGGGACTTGCCAGCACAGAACATGTTGTCCGTGACACGGATGCGGGTAGAGAACTTGCAGGCGGTATGATTCACCAAGGGCAGGTTCACCACCTGCAGCACGCTGGGCTGCACCTCAGAAATGCTGATCACCCACGTCTCCTTCAGGTTGCCCCAGCCAGTCACTCTTCCTTTGTAGCCCATGCGCAGCAATCTTCAGAGAAGGGAGAAGGACCTAGTGAGACCCAACCTCTCCAGAAGCCACCTGGCCTCAAAACCATCTCTTAGAGACCTGAATCCAAACACCCAGGCAGGAAGGAAAGGTAGGGTTTACTTCCCCATCCGTTTAACCAAGAAACTGAGCTTGGCAAAGGAAAGACACTTGAAGACTACAGAGTGGCAGAGTCAGGCTCAGAACTTGCAGACACCAGAGGGCCACCCACCTGTTCATTGTCTTCTTGTCGGGCAGGCACACAGGGTGAATGTAGTCGCTAAAGGCGATGGGCTTCTTGAGCTTCAGTAGAGCGATGTCCCTGTCCAGGTTCTCCTTCCAATTGTATCTGGGGTGGATGCAGATGCTATCCAGCATTGAGATCTTCTCAATGTTCCGCTCATACCTGCACAGAATCCAACAGAAAGACTGAGAAGTTGGAGGCTTGCCCAGGGAAGGGCAGCTGGTTCCCCAAGTCCAGGGCCTGGGAATCAGGCAGAGCAGTGGGTCACCAATGCCTCCCTGGTGCCGAAGGTCTTCTTCTAGACAGCTTCTTTCTGGACCTGAAGCTGTAAAGGGCTTTGGGGTCAGAGAGCCCAAAGGTAGACAAGGGCAGAGACACAGGCCATATGTCCTGGCCCCAGACTTCCACCAAGACCAGGTCCTGGTGTCTGCAGGGAAGCTGGGTGCAGACCAGGACTTTACTCTCAGCTAAGTCTTCATTTCCGGCCCCAACTCCTCAGTTAGGACACGGCTAAGCAGACTTCCCAACAGGGATGCCATATTGTGGAGTTTATATATAGACATAGCCCAGACACCCCAGAGCCACCAGACCGTTTCATGGTCACTCTGGACGACACAACCCCTGACAGGCCTACAGGATCCTGGTTCGGTACCTGGTGCGGGAATGCTTGCCGATGCGCACCAGAAGGTCATTTACGGTGAAGTTCTTGTCCCAGGGTGGGTAATACAGGCAGTGGGCCGCAGTGAGTACCCAGCGGTCACTGATAAGGCTGGCCCCACATAGCAGCTCCTGGGGGCTCTTACGGAAAATCATCACCTGCCTGGGTGGGACAACAAGAAGCAGTAAGAGGTGGGGGTGCCCTCCACCAGCCCTAGAAGTGAGAGTTCTAGGTTTGAGAACTAAATGGATTAGTTAGGTGGGACCCTCAGATGGAATCTGCCAGTGGAGAGTCATGTGATGATGAAGGGCGGCCTCCTGTTTTATTTCCCTTCCCTAGCTCTAAGGAGCTGCTGCTAATCTCACGGTCAGCAATTCAAAACTACCAGCAGTTCCATCGGGGCGAAGATGAGGCTTTCTACTCCAGTAAAGATTTACAGCCTCAGAAACCCTGTACAGGCTCGCTATGAGTCGGAACCAACTCCACAGCACAGAACACCACCTTCTGCCAGTTAATGCAGTAAACTGCAACATGGGTTTGGGCCGTTAAGACAGGAAGTTCCAACTCACCAGCTGCTCCTTGGAAACCCTGTACAGGGTTACTATGAGTCGGATCCTGACTCGATGGCACTTACCAACAACAACCACTTTCTCCCAGTCCGGAGTTTGCCTAGTTTAGAACAACTCTGGAGTCAGAAAAACTGGATTTTAGTGCAACTAAGAAAGTCGCCTAAGAGCTTTGGTAGTGTAGTGGTTACGAATCGGGCTGCTAATCTCACAGTTCGAAACTACCAGCTGCTCCGCAAGAGAAAGATGAGGCTTTATGCTCCCGTAAAGATTTACAGCCTCGGAAACCCTGTACAGGATCGCTATGAGTGGGAACCCACTCCACAGCACACAAGACGAAAGTCGCTTAAGCGCGCTGATGCTCAGCTGCGCCATCTACAGAATGAAAGAAGAAATACACCGGCTTTCATAGGGTTGACATAGGATTAGACAAGATGTTGGATAGAGAATCTGGGCCTGTGTGGGGGACAGAGGGAAGTGAGAGGGGCTGTAGCAGGCCCCAGCAGAGTGTTTGGGAGGGGGAGAGGGAGGGAGAGGCGAAAGCACGGGACGCACCAGGGAGCAACGCCTTGCTCCGCATCAAAACCCGCCACGATGCGCCCCTCCACGTAGGAATCCATCAGTTCATTTTCTGTCGCGTCCTTCACCGACTTCTTCTCGAACAGGGGGCGCAGTCCACAATCTGTAGAGCGAGGGGGCTGTGAGGAACTGAGCGACCCCAACCCCATAGCCCCTCGCCCCGGCGCCGCCTCACCTGCCTCCCCAGTGCCGAAGGTCTTCTCGTTGAAAAAGGACTGGTACGAGTCGTTGGTGATGCGTCCTTCCATGAAGGCTGGGTCTGAGTCCTCACCTGCCAAGTCTTCACTGTCCTCGTCCACTGGTTCCTCTGCAGGGACCCGGGCACTGGCTGAGGCTGGGCTGGGTCAATCCTCACCCAACCTCCGGCTGTCCTCAAGCCCCTTGCCGGCTTTGGGGGTCATTTGGTATAGAGGTTAAGAGGGCAGCGCCCCTTAATTTCTAAGTAATTGAACCTCCCAGACCCACAGTTTACAAATCCATAAAATGGGCATAGAGCCTATTCTAGGCTTTAAAGAACGTGCTTGCGCACAAGTCAAGCAGAAGTGACTTCTTGCTACTCCAGTGGCCTTGTCCTCTCTGCATCTCAGGACCCTAGCCCTGTCCACTCACCGCAGTAGTTAAGGTCGCAGTACTCAAAGTCACCAGGCTGCCCGGCCACATAACACCAAACGCCCTCCTCATCCCCGTCCGGATTCCGGCAGAAGTTCTCCACCAGTGGCACCGTGCTTTTGAAGTCCTGGTCCTTACTCAAGGCCTTGGCCTGTGTGCTGTTCCAAGCCAGGCAGGTGGAGCCATGTGTGGTCACTGCCAGGTGACCCTGGTACTGCTGGCCACGGTCTAGGACACACAGCCCTAATGAGGGTACGGTCTCCATCCTGGTAGTTTTAGAGCGTGGGATCAGCTCCACAGTGACACCCTTCTGGCCTGGTGGGGAGGAGAAAGAGGGTAGGTAGAGTGGGTGGGAATCCCAGCTGGAACCAGGCTGACGAAAGTTCAAATCCCGCCTTGCTGCTTTGTATACCTTTATGGCCCCAGGTAACTTAATGTCTCTGAGCTTACGATTGCTTGCTCATAAAAGGAGTTACAAATAGGCTTCTCAGAAGAAAGACGTGGCGATCTGCTCCGGTAAAGATTACGGCCCAGAAAACCCTATGGGGCAGTTCTACTCTGTCACATGAGGCAACTGAGTCAAAACACGAGTCAACAGCGACCACAGTGCCATCCCTGGGTGGTACAAATGGTCGATGTGCTCAGCTGCTAATGAAAGATTAAAGTCCCAGTCCACCCAGAGGTGTGTCGAAAGAAAGACCTGGTGATCTACTTCTGAAAAATGAAAACCGTATGGTCACAGTTCTACTGTGATGTAACTGGTGTCGTCGTGAGTCAGAACTCACTTTGTGGCAACTGGTTTGGTAATGCCATCCTTGCAGGGTTGTTGAGAGGATTCCACAGACATAGAGCATAAGCATTAAAAGTATCTGTTGCAGAATGTGCCAGAAGAGAAACCAGGCTTCCCGTCCTGATCTAACTTGAATCTATTGGTAGAGACTGGAATGCTAGGTTAAGAAGGATTCTGTGTTTCTATGCTGCTGGCATGTCTTCATGGACATTAGGTCAATTTCAGCATGCCACGCAGGTAACATCCTAACCATATTGTGGAGGCTTGGTAAATCATTAGGTCTTTTTGTTATGATGATGGGTAACTATAAAACCAGTCCCTGACTTGAGATCCAGAGAGAGAGAGGGGCTGTGTGTTGATGACCGGGGTGGAGTGGGGTGGGGTGGGGCAGGCTTGCAGGGTAGACCCTTTGGTTGGCTGATGATGCATGGAGGGGATTGTAACCATGGCAATGAAACGATATACGATAGAATGAATGTAAAACTAATGTTCTCCCATGTAAACTATTACATAATTCACAATAAAACATTTATTTTTAAAAAAAAGCAGTCCTTGGGTCAAGACCCAATAGGGATGCATGAAGGGCAAATACTGTCAACTCAGGCAACTGGCACTAATTCTTTACCCTTGCCTGTTCCTCCGTGACCTTCTCCCCTTCCTGACTGTGACTTCCATCACTGACATTCTCTGGCCAGTAGATGTGGGCAGAAGGGACTGTGTCGGTTCTGAGTCTAAGCCAGTTTGTTCAGTGGTTTACGTTTCTGCGGTCACCATGAGAAGAGCCGCATGCCCCAGAATGAACACGTGTGCAATAGGTCTGGACTCACCCTGCCACAAGGAGCTGAGTTCAGCAGAGCCACCCAGTCACACCTAGTCACGTCAGTCAAGGCTATGGACCAATCAGCAAATCTAGTGACATCAACAGACCCTCCCCCAGCTGGTCTTTAGACACATGCTTATCATTGTATGCCCCTGAAATCTTAGGGTTGTTTGTTTTATAGCATGATTCTGACCATAGCTAACTGTAACTGGAAGAGTCCAGTTGCTGTCAAGTCAGCTGTGACTCATGGCAACCCCATGCGTGTCAGAGTAGAGCTGTGCTCCATAGGTTTCTCGGAGACTGAGTTTTTGGAAGTACATCACCAGCCTTTTCTGCTGAGACACCTCTGGGTGTACCCAAACCTCCAACCAGGAAATGAGCTAATTCATTTAAGAAAAATTCAAATACGTTCATTGAATCAATTCCAACTCATGGTGACCCTATGTGTGTCAAAGTACAACTGTGCTTCGTAGGGTTCTCAATGGCTGATTTTTTCCTGAAGTCATTTACCTGGCCTTTCTCTGGAGATGTCCCTGGGTGGAATTGAATCTCCAAGCATGAATAATAATGACAAAATCACACAGATCTGAAATGAATGAGTTTTGCTTTCTGGTGCTCAGAAAAGCAAGTGTGAGCTGAAATAGCTCGGGGGTGGTGGTGGTGGTGGTGGTGGTGGTGGTGGTGGTAGGGGAGCCAGACTCCTCCTGGAAGGAAAAGTACCTGCTTGTGCCTGCCTGCGTAGTAACGAGTAATAAAAGAATGTTTGCAATGAGTCACAGCAAGAAGCCAAGGCCAAGGTCAGCTCTCTCAAGTCTCCCACCTTCACTGATCAACAGGCCCAAATATGTTATAGATGACTGACCCTCCTAAGGCAAGTGGGACCTTAGTTCCCATCTCCAGCTATTAGATCCCATAAAAACCCCTTGGCCTTGGCCTTGTCCATAGTCTGGCTAATTGTCCCTGCTTACACATAGGGACGCTGCACTCCTCCCTCTACAAGGCGGACCACCTAATTGCCTCCACTCACCACACAGAGGTATGCTGCACTCCTCCCTCCGTACAGTGGGGTCTGTCGTATAACACCATGGCCCCGTTGTGCTGCCATCTGGGTTGCGGCAGAAATTCTCCTTCAGGTCATACTCAGGGAGAGTAGTGTTGATTCTGCAGTAGGAAATGTTTAGCTTGGGACCTCAGCAGGAGGCCCTGCCCCCCATGTCTCCTTGCTCCCACCACTTACTCAGGCTTATGTGGGTAGCGGGTCCTCCAGAGCTGGCATTGGATGCCTGACCTGGTGTAGCTCACATTTCCTCGGTAGTTCTTGCCCAGACCCTCAGCGCAGTTTCCTGCAGAAGCCCCAGCCCAGGTCAGCATCGGAATCCCCAGGATTTGTCCCAGTCTCTCCCAGCAAAGCTCTGTCTACCTACCTACTCCAAGCTCTCTCAAGTCCATGATGCTTGACCTCCAAAGCACCCAACCATTCTCCAGTCAGCTAACAATCATGTCCAAATAGTCAATGAGCAACTAGAACTCTGCCAGCTACTATGGACACAGTGATGAGTAAGACAGTCATCATTACCATTTCTTTGTCTTCCAATTCAGTAACTCCTCATGGTAAGGAGATATAAAACTGAACAAGGTTCTTCTGTGACCTGGACCTTGGCTATTTGTCCTAGTGTCTTGGCTCCTAACTCCTGAGCACACCAGGCTTGCTCATGCCTCTGCCACCGTTGTGCATCAGTGCCGCCCAGAAGGCCAGATAAACGCTACTTTCTCTGGGAGCCATCCCCGATGCTGCCACGAAACCGGAAGCTCCTATCTATGTTCTCTTGGCACCTTGACTAGAACTTTTCTAGCAATCACCTGGATGTTTCATATTTGTGTTTTCCTAGGCAAATGTGTGCTCGTGAAGACAAAGACTATAACTGATTCTCTCAGAATCTCCAACACCCAACCCAGTATGTGGCACGCAGCAGGGGCCTAGTAAAATGTTTGTTGAAGGAGTTATTTTACTAGTGAAAGCATGGCCAGTTGTGAGGTCCCTTGTCATACTGAAGATATATTCAACGTGCTGTAGAGGAGAAGGGAGGCTCCCTGTAGCTTCAGCAAATGGGGAGGCGTTGGAATTCGCCCTTGGAAGATAGAGATGCTTTTGTTAGGCAGTGATGAGTGTTCCAGGAGAAGGTGACAATGTGAACATGGGACAGGAAGGAGAAACACCTTGACATGAATGGAGAGGTGCTTGCTGGAGGTTTGGGGTCACGACTGGTGCCATGGAACATGAGGCTAGATGAAAGGTGAAGGTGTCAAGCTCGCAAGACTTTCTGTGAGTTCTGGAGACTGGGTATGATAACATGGACGATGTGCTCTGGAAACAGGACAGGATGGTGTGCAGAGACTCCACTTAGATACTGAGAAGGAGGTCTTCTAGATTGATTCATGGACTTCTGGTGCAGCGCTGTGGGCTTATGTGCTGGACTGCAAAGTCGGTTTGAACTGCAAGGTTAGCAGTTCAAGCTCGCCAGCCGCTCCTCGGAAACCCTATACAGGCTTGCTATGGGTTGGAACTGACTCGATGGCACTTAGCAACAACAACATTAATTCATCATGCATTCATCCATTCATTTGTCCCAACATTAACACCTCACTGGCTGCCCAACACAGAGCCACAACACTGACCACAGGGACACAAAGGCAGTGTAAGTGCTAGAGATGCCCCCCACAGGACCACATCCCCTAACCCCTATCCCCTTCCTCTCCCAGGCTCAGGCCCTTCTATCTTGGCTCTACTGCCTTCTCCCCCCACCCTCTTGCTCCCACAGTTCCCCGCTGGTTTCTCCTCACCTTCCATACATTCATTGAACTTTTCTCGAGATTTTCTTACTGATTCACAAACTGCAAAAGACCCAGAAACACTTTTGGGATCAGAGTAGAGACAGGATGAACTGGAATAAGGGGGCAGGGGTGGGATGGCACTCAAACAGAGCAGTGGAAGGAAGGAAAGAGGGATGAGTAGGCAAGTGGATGGATGGATGGATGGGTGGGTGGGGATGGGTGGATTGGTGGGTGGATGGATAGGTGGATGGATGGATGGATGGATGAATGGGTGGGGATGGGTGGATGGGTGGGTGGATGGATGGGTAGATGGATGGATGGATGGATGGACCTATGATTGCTGGATCAGATATTTCTGTGAGGTAGAACATTCTCTAGCTGGAGTCCCCAGGCCTCCCGTTTAGGACCAAATCCTTTTCAGTGCTCACCTATGTACTTGGACCAGAACACCTCCTGAAAAACAAGGACTGTATTGAGGCTGAGCAGGAACCTTTGATGCCCACATTTTCTAGTAAAGGTACGTATCCTCCTATTACTTGCCCTTCCTTCCTTTCCCTCAGTCATGTAGAGTCGACTTTGTGCTAGAAATTGTTCTGTTTGTTTCCAAAAGTTCAAACCCATTAAAGAGAAGGGTATTTGAGAAGAGGGGAGTCTCCACCTCTCACCATGACTGAAAAGGGGCCCTTTGGGTTGGGGTATGTGAGAGAAGAGACATGCCTGGCTGATTTCCAGTAGGTTCTAGTAGACCCCCCAAGGAAGGGAAACACTGGGGCATAAACCCAGGACTCTTGGCCCAATGGTGGTACAGAAAGGCCAAACTGAAGGTCACAAGCATCTGGACAAGGGACTGCAGAGGTCTCCAGAGAGAGTGTCTGGAGACCACGAGGGCCTCTGGGTATCAGGGAGTGTCACAGGCCCTGGAACCTCAGCATAGCCCAAGATGCCTGAGGTTGACCTCTTTGCCAGCCCAGTGAAATGGGACTCAGAACTGAAAAGAAGTTAACTTAGCAACAATTAAGGATTGTGAAGTTCCTCCCTCAAGCCATTCCTAGAGTGAGACCCACTCTAAGGGACCTGGACTGACCTCTGAGGAGCCCAGTCCTCACCGTTTCCGTGGAAGATTCCAGAGCCTCAAAAGCCTCTTCATAGCTGCACTGCTCCTCCATGCATTCTCGCTCCAGGTTACCCTTGCGCAATTCCTCCAGGAAGCCGCTGTTGGCCCGGCGGACACGCTGGAGCAGCGACAGTGCTTGCTGAGGAGCCAGGAACACTACGGTAGGAGGGTCGTGTGGCAGCGGCCTCAGGGAGTCAGGCCACTGGGTCATAGTGGGGCCAGGAAGCAAGCCCTGCTCGCCATGTTGGCTTTCATAATGGTACGTGGGCTGGTGGCAGAACCTGGAAAGCTGCCAAATGTCGCCCACCGGCTCCTCTCTTCCCCTTGGCCATCCCTAGCCCACTCTCCATATTGCAAGAGTGAATCAACCAGTGTCTCCCAATCTTGAGGATTCAGTTGCTTCCCCTCAGTGGGAACTCTACCCAGGAACTGGCCCTGTGTTCTCTTTCAAGCTGGGAGACCCCAACCAGGGTCCATGACCCAGTCTTCCAGCCCGTTCCAGCTTCCAAGCCTTCCCCCACTTACCAGGCTGGCTGTGCACAAGGCTGAACAGGGTGACCAGGACCAGGCAGCCAGGCAGCCATGGGCCTCGGACGTGCGCCATAGTGTGTCAGCTCTGGGGACTCTGAAGGCTAGGCCTGACCCCTCTGGGTTAATGGTGAACTAGCATGAAGAAATCTGCTGAGAGGGAGAGGTCATTGGGTCAGGGCTGTGGGGACAGGCAGAGAGATAGTCTACCTGCCCACCCCCGTCATCCAGTGGGACAGGTCCTCCTGGGACCAGAGATTGATATTCTGGGAGGAAGACCCAAAAGAAAGGTCTTCTTAGGGCCTGGGGTGAACGTGGATGAGTGGGTTCCCAAATCTTTCTGAGGCTCCTCCTAATCTAACACGTAGTGATGACTATTTCCATCTCTACGAGCCTCGGTTTTCTTATCTGTAAAATGGGAATCGAATTTGGTTTGAGGAGTATAGGAGATGATGAATGCAAAGGTCTCTAGGTGGCACAAACAATTTGCTCTTGGTGAATAACTGAAAGGTTGGCTGTTTGAATCCACCCAGTGGCCCCCAGAAAGAAAGGTCTGGCAATCTACTTCCAAGAGTGTTGTTGTTAAATGTTGTCAAGTTGGTTCCAACTCATAGCGACCCTGTATAGGGTTTCCGAGGAACAGTTGGTGGGTTTGAACTGCCAACGTTGTGGTTCACAGTTCAGTGCTGATCCTACAGAGTCACACCAGGAGTCCTCCAAAAGAGTACAGCTATTGGAAACCCTAGGAAGTTGTACTCTGACACTCACGAGGTAGCCGTGAGTCAGAACAGACTTGATGGCAACAGGTTTGGTTTTGGTAATAACTAATGGATCATGACAAACGATAGACAACATTGTGAAGAATTGGTATTCCAGAACACTTAATTGTGCTCATGAGGAAACTGTACATAGACAAAGAAGCAATTGTCAAACCGAACAAGATACTGAATGGTTTAAAATCAGGAAAGGTGTGTGCCAGGTTGTATTCTTTCACCACACTTACTCAATCTGTGTGTGGAGCAAATAATCTAAGAAATTGGATGATATGAAGAACATGGCATCAGGATGGGAGGAAGGCTCATTAACAACCTGTCATATAAAGATGACACAACCTTGTTTGCTGAAGATGAAGAGGACTTGAAATACTTATTGATGAAGATCAAAGACTACAGCCTTCAGTATGGATCGCACGTCAATGTAAAGAAAACAATAATCCTCACAACTGGAGTCCTATTGTGGAGCTGTGGGATAATCACTGGACTGCTAACCACATGGTTGACGGTTCAAACCCACCAGCCACTCCTCAGAAACTCTACACAGGATCACTATGAGTTGAACCCAACTCCATGGCACTTAACAACAACAACAACAAAAATCTTAGTGATTTTGATTTTAAAAGCTCATGAGCAGCCATCTAAGGTGAACATTGGTCTCTCCATGTGCGTAAGAAAGAAGAGTGATAAAAATTTGAAGATGCTTGGAATCAACTAGTTCAATGGAACATGTGACCATCAGTCACCACGACTCAGACCAGAAACACTAGATGGTGCCCGGCTACCACTATCAAATGCTCTGAAAGGAATCTTATTAGGAGTCTGGGCAGAGTGGAAGAAAATGTGGGAAAAAAATTATTATAAAAAAGACCAGGCTTACTGGTCAGAAAGAGACTGGAGGAACCCTAGACTATGGCCCTTGACCACCCTTCAGGTCTGGAATGGAACTCACCCCTGTGGCCCAATTTTTAGCCAAGCAGGCATATAGGACTCGATGGCACCTAACAACAACAATGGAGGGGGGGAAAACAACACTAGTAAAGTATGCTCACCATGAGATGGTCAATCATCCAAGATCAAAAGGGCAACATTTACCTAAGGACAAAGTTGAGAAGGGATGGGAAGGTTGGTGGACAGGAAACAGGAAGCACAGGGAGGCAGTGGGAAAATTGTTGTGACATGAAGGGGATTGCAATCGTTGAAATGAAACAAAGTGTATGATTTATTGAGTGCAAAACTGATGATCTTCTCTGTAAACACAATAGAGTTAAGAAAAAAATCTCACAACTGGACCCATAAATAACATCATGATGAATTAAGAAAAGATTGAAGTAGTCAAAGACTTCATTTTGCTTAGCCACAGTCAACGCTCATGGGAACAGCAAACAATGTATTGTATTAGGCAAGTCTGGTGCACAAGACTTCTTTAAAGTGTTAAAGAGCAAAGATGTCAGTTTGAGGCTTAAGGTGTGCCAGACCCAGGTCACAATATTTTCAATCACCTCATATACATGTGCAATTCGGACAATGAATATGGAAGACTGTAGAAGAATCGATGCAGTTGAATTATGGTGTTAGAGAAGAATATTAAAAGCACCATGAACTGCTAAAAACCAAACAAATTGATCTTAGAAGAAGTACAGCCAGAATGCTCCTTAGAAGTCAGAATGGTGAAACTTCATGTCTCATTCTTAGATGCGTTATCAGGAGGGATCACTTTCTAGAGAAGGACATCATGCTTAATAAAGAGGAAGGTCAGTGAAAAAGAGGACACCCTCCCAACAAGATGAATTGTCACAATGGCAGCAACAATGGACTCAAACATAACAATTGTGAGGATGGCACAAGACCAGGCAATGTGTTGTTCTGTTGTACCATAGGGTCGCTATGAGTGGAAATATATATAAACTGTACATATACATACACATGATGAGGAGGTTTGTAAAATCACAATATGCAAGTATGAGAGAAGGAAGACAAGGATGTGGCCAGACATGAGCTACCCACCACCTCACCTAGGGTGCACTGGGGCTAGAAACAGCCAACATTGGTTCCTGCCTCTCAGTCACTGCTGAAGGGTTCCACTTTTCCATCCTACATGGGTTGATGTAGAGGTGTGTTTTTTGTGTGGTCATTACCTGGGAGTAGGAGCTTGGGTCTTTAGTCTATTTTCTCTCATCTTCCAGGACTTTCAGCTCCCCACCCCCCCAATCACAGCCCAGCCCAAATCTCTTGAGTCTCTGTATCAGGGCCTCTCCGGCCTTCCCTGCCTGCCTTCCCTGGTCCATGCGTAGAGTATCCCAGGTCCCATACTGTCCCTGGGCCTAACCCAGCTCCCTGTCCCTCCCCCATTTCCTGTTTGCAAGATAAATATTAGTCCTGGGTCTAATTAGGACAAAGGGACAAAGAGCAGGAACACAGAGAAGCACAGGGTCTTGCTTCACCTGTCCAGGTCTGTTGTTTCGGGTCTGGACCACGGTCCTGTACAGCTGGGAAGATCACTGGAGGGGCTAGTGTGGAGCCAAGAAGAGAGGGAGAGGGTCAGCAGACCCCTGGGGACTAGGACTCCTACAGATGAGTTTAATTCCTGGGAGGGTGTGTGTGTGCATACACGTTTAAAAGGCGCTCTGGTGGCACAGTGGTTAAGCACTCAGCTGCTAAGAAAATGGTTGACACTTGAACCCATCCAGTACTCTACAAAGGAGTACTGATAGCGTAGTGGCTTACACGTTGAGCTGTTAATCACAAGTCAGAAGTTCGAATCCACTAGCTGCTCCATAGGAAAAAGATGAGACTTTCTGCTCCTGTAAAGATTTATAGGAGACTTTCTGCTCCTGTAAAGGAGTCCTGGTATGGCGCTGTGGGGTAATGCATCAGACTACAAATTGTTTGAACTGCAAGGTCAGTGGTTCAAGCTCACCAGCTGCTCCTTGGAAACCCTACACAGGGTTGCTATGGGTCAGAATCGACTCAACGGCACTTAACAACAACAAAAACAAAGATTTATAGCCTAGGAAACCCTACACAGACCCACTGTGAGCCGGAACCAACTTGATGCACACAGCAGTAGCGGGTCTATGGAAGAAAAACCTGGAGATCTGCTTCTGTAGGAAGTTGTTAAGTCAGTTCCGACTCATAGCGTCTCTGTTTCCCAGGAGCAGCTGGTGAATTTGAACCTATGGAGTAGTTCTACTGTGTCACATGGAGTGTCAGTATCAGTCAAATTCAACTAGACCGCTCACAGCAATAACGTATGTATAGTGGTTGTTAAGTACCGTCAAGTTGGTTCCAACTCATAGCAACCCCATATAGGGTTTCCGAGGAGCCCTGGTGAATTTGAATCATTGACCCTGCAGTTCAAACTAACCTTGTGGTCTAATGTTTTATCCCACAGCACCACACCAGGACTCCAGCTTATGTATGTACGTACATATATATATACATGAGGAGACTCAAAAAGGTCACGGATACTTTAAAAATAGCCCCCTTGTATATTTAAAATTAGGCATAATTTCCATATATTAATGTTCACAAATCTTAAGTGTATAACTCAAATGTAACCAACACACTGTTTAAGACAGAATATTCCCAGCCACCAAACAGGTCGATTCATGTCGCCTCTCAGTCAGTACCTGCCAAGGTCACTACAATTTTAACCACTGTCACCACAAATAAATTTTGTATTTGAACTTCATGTAAGTGGAAAACTACAGTATATACTCGCTGCATCTAGCTTTCTCACTCAGCATCTGTTTGAGATTCATCTATGTTGTGGATTAGTATTTGATTCCTTCAATGCATGACATTCTTATTTGATCTATTCATCTGTTGATGAGCATTTGGATTAACGTCCAGTTTTGAGGGATTATGAATAGCGCTGCTGTGAATATCCTTGTATAAGTCTTTTAGTGTACAGGCAAACCTGGGAGATAAATGTCGATTTGCTTGCAGACCACCGCAATAAAGTTAATACTGTAATGTTGTTGTGTTGTCTAGTTGGTTCCAACTCATAGTGACCTTGTATAGGGTTTCCAAGGAGCAGCTGGTGGGTTTGAACTGCCAACCTTGTGGTTCACCATCCAGTGCTGATCCTACAGTGCCACACCAGGAGTCGAATATTATAATAGAATCATGAATTTATTGGTTTCCCAAGGTGCACCTGACCTAAGCCATGGTATTTTCAATAACCTCATATGCATGCAAAAGCTGGACAGCGAATAAGGAAGACCGTAGAAGAATTGATGCTTTTGAGTTATGGTGTTGGAGGAAAGTATTTAAAGTGTCATGGGCTGCCAAAAGAACCAACAAATCCTGGCTTCCAAGGAGCAGCCAGAGTGCTCCTTGGAAGCCAGGATGGCCAGACTTCCATCTCTCATACCTCAGACATATTGCAGGAGGGACCAGTCGCTGGAGAAGGATCCATTTTTGGTAAAGTGGAGGGTTGGAGAAAAAAGGAAGACCCTTAGCGAGATGGATTGGCACAGAGGCAAAATCAACGGGCTCAAACGTAGTTAACGATTGTGAGGTTGGCCCAGGATCGGGCAGTGTTTTGTTTTGTTGTGCATAGTGTCGCTGAGTCGCTACCAACTTGATGACACCTAACAACAATGCATATAAAAGTTGTGTACACTATACTGTTGTCTATTAAGTGTAAAAGAGCATTATGGGAAAGCTGAGAATACTTTTAAGAACTACCAAATTGTGACACAAAGAAGTGAACACATATTGTTGGGAAAATGGTATTGATAGAATTGCTCAACACAGGGTTGCCACAAACCTTCAATTTGTTTAAAATAAAACAAAACACTAAAGCCGAGTACAATAAAATGAGGCATACCTGTATACAAGCACTTATTTCTGTTGGCTGTATGCTCAGGAGTGGATTTTCTGGGTCATTAACTATGTGTTTTGCTCAAGTTGTTGTGTTGGTTATGTGCTGTGGAGTCAGTTCCAACTCATAGCAACCCTGTACAGGGTTTCTGAGGCTGTAAATCTTTACAGGAGCAGAAAGCCTCATCTTTCTCCTGTGGAACAGCAGGTAGTTTCAAACTGCTGACCTTGGGGTTGGCAGCCTGGTTTGTAACCACTATGCTACCAGAGCTCCTTAAGTAGCAATGACAAATAGTTTTCCCAAGTGGTTGTACTATCTTACTTTCCCAACCAATGTTTCATGCAGTGATGAGTGTAGTATAGGTATACCTTACTGTGACATTGTATTCTGTTTATGGGTTTAGTTTCAAGGACCAAGCAGCTCAGGAAGTTTACTGCCTTTCTACCCCCACAAAAATTTTTATGAAATCTTCCTATGTGATCTTCAGGAACCCCCCACCTGCCCAGCTTCTCCCTGTGTCCCCCAGCTCTGTGCACACGCCCCCCCCCCCCCCCCCGAGGCATCCAGTCTCATCTCTGGCTATCCATTCCCACCGTGACTTTCTGTGGGGCATCTCCCTGTGTGCTGGGGGATCAGATGGGCTGCAGATGGTGGAGGTAGTGAGAGCAAGGGGCTGTGAGGGAGGAGGGTGGGATCTAGTCGACCTGGTGGCTGGGGAGACGAGACAGGAACAAGTCCCAGGAGCCTACAGGGTGGGGGCAGCCCACAGTGGTCACAGGGATGTTGCTGCTCTGCAAATTCCCGGAGGTGTGAAACTTGGAGCATGTGGCCAGGGTGCTGAGGAAGTTAGCTGGCCTGGCAGGAGTGTTGCTGGGAGGGCACATTATCTGGTGGGGGTGGTGACTGTTGGGAATGTTTTTCTTGGGAAAACGTGCTCAGGGCAATCTCGAACTGCTGGTGGACCGCCTGGAGAAGCTGCTTCCCCTCTCTGAGCAGCCTTGATCTGCATGAAGTAGCTGATGGTGACCTGGTGCCGCAGCTTCTCCCTGTTCATCAACCAGCAAAACACAAGGCCCCAGCCTGGCCATCCAGTGCCTGCCTTCACTGCCCATGGGCGAATGTGATTCTACGGGCTTCCCCAGGAAACCACAAACCTTGTATTTCCACTTGACTAATGATATTGAACCTACATTTTCTTTTGGAGTGGAATGGTGAAAAGATCACATATCATTAATTTATTCAAAAATTAAATATTGTGTGAGAAAGGTCCAGGGCTTCTGAGGAGGCAGAGATGAGAGAAGTTGGGCGTCATCCTTCCTGCCTCCACACAT